CCGAAAGACCTCCAAGGGGGCCCCAAAACGGCCCAAGAGGGCCCCAAGACGGCCCCAGAGGCGCCCAAGTCGGCGCAAGAGGCCTCAAAGACGGCTCCAAAAGGGGGCCCATATGGGGGACCCGAGCGGTCATTTCGAGCCCTCGGCCCCGAGGGGACCCCAGGAGGCCCTCAGGCCCCGAAGTGGCCAAAGAGGCCCCCGATAGGCCCCCAAGAGGCCCCCCAAAGGCCCCCAAAGCGAGCGCTGCGAAGAGACCCCAAGAAGCACCCCTGCGAACTCGGACCCACAATCCAGGCACGGTGGCGGATAGGCCGAAGGCCACTAGATACAGACCTCCAACGACTGGCGTGTAAGAGAAAGACGGCCCTAGACTTGAATGCTCATTCTGGGTGCCTTCCTGGAGACATTCGCTCCTGTCGTGCGTCGAAGCTGCGTCAAACGTCCGTCGATTTGAATCGACCCTGAGCCGAACCTGAGTCGAACCCGAGTCGGAATTGAGTCGAACTTGAGTCGAACTTGAATCGAACTGGGGTCGAACTAGAGTCGAACAGATCCGTTAGGTTGGCCCCAGGAAGGTCCCCCGAACGAACATCTAACTAGACCGTCCCACACCTCGGCCTTCGAACCTGGGGTCACGGCGTGTGAGATGCTTCCCCCTTCCCAAACCCCTCCCCCGGGAGCCCGGCCTGGCCGGTTTGGAGGGGTGGGGGGGGGGGCGAGGGACAAAGGTGCCATCAGGCCCCACGAGGCCCCAGAGTGCCCCAAGCAGCCCCTACGACGGCCCAAGAGGCCCCCGAGACGCCCAAAGGTCGGCCCAAGACGCCCGGGATGGCCCCAAGACGGCCCCAGAAGCCTCCCAGACGGCCCAGAAAGCCTCCAAGAGCATTCCCAAGAGGGGCCCCAGAGGCCAAAATCGACGAATTCCTATGGGGAAGCTTACATTGTGATCGTACACGGTTTTTCTGCCTTCGCGGCGTTGAAGACGGCCCCAGAGCCCCCCAAGACCGCCCCCAAACGGCCCAAGAGGCTCCCAAGAGGCGCTCGAAACGGCCCAAGAGGACGCCCAGGCGGCCCAAGAAGCTCCCAAGACGGCCCAAGAGTGCCCCAAGACGGCCTCAAAGGGAGCCTGAACCAACAATCCGAGCGTTCCGCCCCAAAACGGCCCCAGCGGGGCCCAAGAGGCGCCAAACATGGCCCATGAGGCCCCCAAGAGGCCCCCCAAGAGGTCCCCAACAGGCCCCCCAAGAGGCCTCAAAGAAGCTCAAAAGAAGCCCCAAGTACCACTTGAGGCATGTAACTTCTAACCCACAACCCAGGCGCCAAGGATCTCAGGCCGACAACAAAGGCACGGTGGCGGGATGGGCCGACGGCCATCCTACATACATATACATGTATGTATATCTATACACATATATATATATATATACATATACACACCAAAACGTGTATATATATATATATATATATATCTATGTACACATATATATATATATAGATATGTAGAACAATCCCTATCTATATGTATGTATACGAACTGCCGCGGGCATCTACCTCGATCGATGGGAGAAGAGGAGAAGGACGAGGAGGAAGAGGAGGACGAGGAACAAAAAGAAAGAAGATTTTGTCGCCGCCGCCGACGTCTCACACACTTTCGTGGTCTTTCGACCACCCGATACATCTCCTCGAATTCGGCCTCCAGGCGCCGTTTTCGGTGCCGGGGACCACCGCCGAAGGCCTGGGATGAGGATCGACCTCCCTGGCCGGTGCCACCCCTTCGCAAAAGAAGGAGGAGGAGGAGGAGGAGGAGGAGGAGGAGGAGGGGGAGGAGGAGGAGGAGGAGGAGGAGGAGGGTGGATCGAGGCTCGAGGCATGAGCCTCCTAGTTCTTGGGCGCCCTCCGCCCCTCGGGGCCTTCGGGAAGCTCCCCGTCGACACAGCTGGGTCCACTCTCGAACTTCTGGCCAGACGCAGCCGCAGCTGGGTCTCAACGATCCCCGAGCCTATCCAGGAGGTGGAAAAGGAGGCCTGGGACAGGCCCCGTGAAAGCCCCAAGAAGCTCACAGAAAACCACGAAACACTTCAAATCAATCCCCTACAACGCCCCCCCTTGAACCCCACACGCTTCGTAGGACAGGCCGAAACCCCAAGACTGCCCAGCGATCGCGCGCGTTCCGCGAATTCTGTCTTTCACTCTTGCTGCTGCCCCAGGGGGTCGGCGGTGCGGCGTAAGCCAATGAATCTTGGAGCGTATCGTCATCGCGACACCTTGCCCCCCCCAGAAGAAAGGAGGCACCAGGCCGTCCCAGACCTCGACCTTCGATCCTCGAGGCCTGGGCGCCGCTCCACCTGCTATGCTGCATCTTCGGAAGACCGTTCCTGTCCCCTCGCGCTGCAATGCGCATCGCACCCGCGTCGCATCCACGTCGAGTCCGCGTCGAATCCGCATCGCACCCGCGTCGCATCCACGTCGAGTCCGCGTCGAATCCGCGTCGAAACCACGTCGAAACCGCGTCGAATCCGCGTCGAATCCGCGTCGAAACCACGTCGAAGCCACGTCGGAACCGCGTCGAAACCCGCGTCGAACCCCACGCCGTCTGCAGGAACATACCACCAGCTATATGAGGACAGGCCAGGCAGACGGCGCGAGCGAGGCGCGCCCGAGGCCTCGGACTTCGGGAAAGAGCTGACGTCGTAGTAGCTGGGCGCCAGCTCCACGAGCCACTCCCCGCGCACCTGCGCCAACGGCGGGGGGGGGATGGGCGGGGCCCCAAAACACCGTGGGGGCCACGGACCGCGCGGTGACCTCGCAGCCCCGCGAGACCCCCCCGCGCGGTGCGTCGCCCCGCGGTCCTGGGGCCTCGGAGGCCCCGGTCGCCCGAGACGTCCTCGGCGAGCGGCCCGAGGCCCGAGGCCGTGCGGTGGCCCCGAGCTTCCCCTGACGCACCACGCGGTGTGGCGACCGCACCGCCTGGGGGCCCTCCACGCCTGGGGGTGTTTTCGTGCCGTGGCTCGGGCCTCTGGCGGCCGTTCGGGACTGACGCCCTCGGCTGGCCGATAGCGGGCCCCTCCCGCAGGGGTCCGTCCTGCCACCCGGCTGACCGACAGCGGGCCCCTCCCGAGGGGTCCGTCCGGCCTCTCCCAGCCACCGCTCGGGCGTCCAACTCCCCGTGCGTGTGTCGGTTTCGTGTGTGTTTTTTTGGGGGGCTGCGGCATGCTCCAGGCTGCTCCCCGAGGGTCCCCGCCGGAAAAAAAAGAAAACACGCACACGTCCGAGCGATGCCGCGCCTCACAAAAAAAACAGCGCAAGGTCGACGTCTTGGCTCGCAGCATGGACGTTCGGTCGGCCCCGTCACACCGTGCGTGGCAAGACTGGAACGGGCGACGTGATGGCGAAACGTGGTTCTCGCCTCGGCACCGAGCACACCTTCCAGAGAATCGAGTTCCCGCCTGGGCGCGGCCGCGCGCCTAACACACCGACGCGCGGGATGACGAACATGTCGCCATCGCCTCAGCGCGGTGCAAATTTCCGCCTGAAGAAACGATTGGGCGTAAAAGGTTCCCTAACCCTTTGGGAGGCGGCCCAAGTTTTCAGGGCCAGAAGCATTGGTGATCAGGGGTCTTTTGTACAGGTGCACCAGACCGCCCAGATCTATGATCCACAATGCAAAGACGGGGGCCTCAGTGAGGCCACGTCTTCACGATGTCATTCGGGTCAGGGGTTCGTATACCCCCGATGGAAGCAAACTCTCGTCTTGGCGCACCGCATGTTTCTCACTCGCCACGGCTTTTGTGGGAGACCAACAGCTACCGATGCCGCTACTCCTTGGACCTCTGCCGGGCTGCGCCCTGACCAGAATTTCGAGGCGAACCCAGCGGTGGCGACGAGGGCCGCCCAAGAGGCAGCATAAGGGGAAAATGAGGAAAGGGCAGAGAGGCACGGGTACCTCTCCCTCCTCTGAGCTTCTTGGGGCCCGCGCGCGAGGGCGCCTCGCCACCCTCGCCCCAAGGGCTCCGTGCACACTGCTCGCCTGGACGCGGCGTCCCCCGCGGGCCCGGCGCATGCTTCGCCCCCGCCGCATAGCCTGGCAGGGGCAGCCGCGCCGGGGCCGCTCGGGGGCTGAGCATCGTTTGACCGATGCCCATCCCCACCAGCGTGGGCTGGGCACCGCTGGCCGAGGTGCCCCCCTGGATGGGGATAAGGGCTGCTCTCTTCGGGTTTCGAGGGGCACATCCCCAGCTGAGGTGGTGAGACGGTGGGGCTCGAGATGTGGATGGGGGTGGGGACAGGGATGGGTCGAACGATACTGAAGAGCGGGCGAAACGCTGCCGCCCGAGCGCCTCAGAGTTCATGTGCGAACGTGGAAATGCTGCTGTGGCGCAGCGCTTGCTGCGTCTTCGCCGCGCGCATCGAACATTGTTGCCGCTCCCGCCCCTGAGCACCCCGCGTACACGCCGGTCGAAAGAAGTAGGACAAACACATTAAGTAGGAAGGTGGATACAGTAGATTGTGTTTAGGCCCTTTCAGATAATAACAAAACGCAGCAGAAGCATGCCGTCTCTTGAAGTAGGAAGGCGCTTGAAGTAGATTGGGATCTAGGAATCCAGAAATATCTACTTTCAACGACTGGCGTATAGTTTTTCCTGCGCCAAGTCGTCGGAAGCGGGACCGCGCGCGAGCGCATTCCGTTCGGTAGGTGGGAATGCGCTCAAATCGCAATACAGTGGAGGCCAGTCCACAAGAACCTTCGACAAAAAATCCAACCCTGAGACCCCAGGACGTCCATTGAGTTCGGGTCTGGGAGTGTCACGCTATCCATAGCAAAAACATCGAAACCCAAGAAACCCAGGGCACCCTGGATAAAAGCAGGGCTCCCACTGTACCAAGCTGCGCCACAATTGACTCGTTTGCTATGGTATGGGAGAGGGGGTGGAATGGGCGAGGCCCGCTGACACCTTCGACCTGGCCAGCTTGACCACTCCTCCCACTCCTTCTTCTCCCCCTCCTCCTCCTCCTCCTGCTCCTATTCCCTCATCCCTCCTCCTGCTCCTCTTCCCTCCTCCCTCCCTCCTCCCTCCTCCTGCCTCCTCCTCCTCCGTCCTCCTCCTCCTCCTCCTCCTGCTCCACCTCCTCCTCCTGTTCCTCCTCCGTCGCTTCCCACAGCGGCAGTCTCATCGTCCTCTTCGCTCCCTCCCTACAGCAGTAGTCTCAAATACCTTGCAACGACAGCCTAAAATACCTCGGTCAAACGATCAACTTCGACAATCCGATGGACACGGGGAGATCCACCACCGCACGAGAGCAGCTTGGGCGGCATTCACTTCTCGAGAACAGGAACTGGCCAACAAACATTACCCGCAAGCCCACCGACTACAGCTTTTCAGCTGCACAGTGACCCCGACAGCACTGCACTGCGCAGAGACGTGGACGCTCGCATAACCTCTTCGGCAACACCAGCGGCGGACACAACGACGTATGAGTCGTATGATAATCATACCTCCGAGGGGCCGCATTACCAACCAAGCTGCCCCACGCAACAGCCAAGGCACCATGGACCATGGCACGACCAGGGATGCACCAGAGCAAACAGCAACATCGACGGCGCAGACAACAAAACACATCGACGGCACAGACCGGCATCTTGGAGGACCAAGATCAATGATACACAAAACAGTGCCCCTAACCCGTTGTGAGGGGACCTGTTAGGAGGGCCAAGCACATAAAGGATTGGTGTTTTTGTCTGCACATGTATCAGACCAAACCGCCCAGATCGATTATTCCTAATACGAAAACAGGGACCTAAGTGAGGCCACGCCTTCACCGTGCTGTCAGTGTGAGGGGTTGTTTTGATCTCGATGAATCAAGAGGACGAAAAGGATCTAAAGGTCTTCGGCGCCCTCTGTGGGCCTCTTGGGGGGCCTCGTCGGGGGCCTCTGCTTCGGCGGCCGCGGAGGCCCTCCGGGAGCTCCTTGGGACCCCTGGGGGCCTCTAGACTCCGCGGGGGCCTCCGGGGATGGTCTGGAGGCCCCAGTGGCACGAGAGCGGGCCGAGGACGGTAGGGAGGCGTGGTCCTCGCGGTGTTCCTCCTCACCCTGCCTGCTCGTCCCTGTCCTTCTCGCCATTCCGAGCAGTGGCTCCGTCGAGAATCAGGATGGAGCGGGCGACGAGACTGTCGAGGGCGAGACCAAGTAGGACGTCAGGAAGGGGCGCCGAGTACGAGGGGGCTCAACTGAGGGGGGCCGACAGAAGATTCACAGGTCGACCTCGACGACACATGGCCGACAGATAGGCGAGCCCACGATTGCGAAATCCCCCTGGGCAGAGTGAAGCGCACCATTTCCGATCGGAGATGAATGAGCGATTCGAGGTCGGTGCTCCCCCACCCCCTGAGTTCGCCCCCCCCTTTCGGCGCCGCTGATTCCAACCAAAAGAAAGCAGACGACGAAAGGGCTCAAGGTCCACCAAAGACGAGTCGGTCCCCAATGCGTCCTGCGAAACTTGCGCCAAGCTCATTTGGCCGTCGGGGACCCACTGCAGCAGAGGTACCGATTAGCCTCTCAACCACACGTACACACAATCCTCGCGATCCACACGAATACTTCGGGCACTCCTGTGCCCTGATGCCCTCCTGCCAAGGACATTGTCTGCACCTCGCCGAATTAGGATCACCACTGGGAACTGAACATGATCGACCCACGAACCCGGAAAGGAATATAGAAATATAAGGCATGGCAACGTTTCAAAGACACCTGATTGGGCGCCGGCCACATGCAATGCTGAATGTATCGATCTTGACGTACTGTGCCGACGGCTGTGCTGTGCTACGCCGTGCTGAACTACAATGTGCCATGCCGCGATTGTGCTCTATATAGCGTTGTGGATCGAGTCCTCCTTGGCATCCGAGTCCTCACCGAACTGATCTGGATCGTAAGCTCGAGCTGCCTGAGCAGATGGTAGCTGCCCCAGAACTAATCGACAAAGGGGACACGCCAGGAGGACGCGCCGCGGAACGTCCCAAGGGACGCGCCAGGCGACGTGCCAAGGGACGTGCCATGGAGACGCACCGCGGGACGTGCCAAGGGGACGCGCTACGGAACGTGCCAGTGGACGTGCCGCGGGACGTGCCAGGGGATGCGCCGCGCGACGTGCCAGGTGGACTCGCCACGGAACGTGCCAAGAGACGTGCCAAGGTGCAATGTTGAGTGTATCGATCTTGATGTACCGTGCCGACGGCTGTGCTAGCTGCCCCAGAACTAATCGACAGAGGGGACATGCCATGAGGACGCGCCAGGCGACGTGCAAGGGGCCGTGCCATGGAGACGCACCGCTGGACGTGCCAAGGGGACGCGCTACGGAACGTGCCAGTGGACGTGCACCGCGCGACGTGCCAGGGGGACTCGCCACGGGACGCTCCGCGGAGCGTGCCAAGCAACATGCCAAGCTGCAATGCTAAAACAAGGCTAGGATCGGGATAAATCGCTCCAGAGCGTTCCAGACGGCTCTCAGAGCGTTCCGGAACGCTCTGGAGCGGCCGCGGCGCCCAATACATCCTCCAACCCCGCCGATTCTCAGAGATTTCGAGTTATCCCGATCCGATTTTGTCCCGATCTTCGCGTCGTCATAAATGCTAAGGGTATCGATATTGACGTACCGTGCCGAAGGCTGTGCTGTGCCTGGGCGACCTGGACACGTGAAAACACGCGTTTCGCTCAAGACGTTCTCAGCACATCCTCATGCTAAGACATCCGCCTGGGCAACCTGGAAATGTGCAAACAAGCGTCTCGATCGAGACTTCCTCAACACATCTTCATGCTAGACATCCGCCTGAGCGACCTGGACACGTGAAAACAAGCCTCTGGTTCGAGACATCCTCAACAAATCCTCATGCTAGATATCTGTCTGGGCAATCTGGAGGCGTGAAACCAAGCGTCTCGCTCGAGACATCCTCAAGGCCTGGGCACGTGAAAACAAGCATTTCACTTGAGAGATCCGCTGAATTCAGGTCCCCAGGAGAGGACAATCTATAACACAAAACGAGCGTTTCGCTCGAGACATCCTCACCCAATTCTGAAAAACAAGCGTTTCGCTCGAGACAATCTCAAATGTTAGTTCGCCGACCCACCTCGACCACGATATTTATCGCAGAGGAAATTCGCCGGCCCACCTCAAACCAAAAACCGGGGGGAAACGAACTAAAAGAAAACCCTGGGCCTATGCCTTTTCCGGGAAAAACGAGAAAGAGATTCGCCTTGCACACACTATTTGGGCTCGTCCCGAAGAATAAGCAAAAAAGAGTGGCCCCAGCAAATTTCTGTGGCGCGGGATAGTCCAACGGTGCATCCAAGTGCGATGTTCAACGCTTCGGCATTTGAACTTGAACACGCGCAGTGCTGTTGCACTTCCCCTATGAGCCGAATCAGAAACGCTGAAAATGGGCTGATCTCATGAAAAATCGCCTATCTGCGCTAGGCTGGAAAAAAAACATCACATCTGCGCCGGGTATGCTGCTTGACTCCTCACGCCTCGATGGACGCCACCAGATTCAATCAGGCTTTGCCCACACATCGCCCCAGCGAGTGCGATAACATCTGACCCTCCTGCAGCAATCCTCCTCCTCATGAGCAAACGGCGCAGCAGTCATCAGGCCCGCGCGCGCGCTGCCTGCGTCACTGTTCTCACGAAGTTCTTCGAAGTGAGCACAAACTGGGCGGGCGCACCACATCATGGCTGTGCGGCTCCCGGGGCGAAGCGGGCCACTTTGAAAGTGCACGAGCGCACGCAACAGTTCCTGATCTCCCTTCCTCTCTGCTTCTCTCTCTCTCTCTCCCCCGCTCTGCGTCGCTCTCCCCCGAGTGCCGCCCCGTCTCACCGCCGGCCTGTCGCTCCCCCGAACGTCGAGCGGCACCGGGCGAACCCGCGACAGGCCAGGCCCCGAGAGGCCCACCAAAGCGTGCCGGCGGCCTGTGCAGAGGCAGAGGCAACGAACCATCCAAGGGGCCATGCCCACGGAGGCGGCCCGCGATGAGACAGACCCACCTCATCCCCGTATATGTACTCCTCCTCGTGTTCCTTCTCTTCGTCCTCCTCCACTTCCATAATCCTCCTCCTTCATCCTCACCCACTCGTACATCATCGTCGTCCTCCTCCTCGCTCCTCCTCCTTCCTCCTCCTCCTCCTCCTTCTCCTCCTCTTCCTCCTCCATCTCCTCCATCTCACTCCCCCTCCTACCTCCTAGCTCAAATTCCTCCTCCTCCGCCCTCCTCGTTCCTCCCCACCCTCCTTCTCGCTCCTCGTCCCTCGCTGCTCGTCGTCGCCTTCCAGGAGGAGTTCTGCCACTGGCTGGCCCGAGCAGGGGGGGCCCCCTCCTGTTCACGGTGCCCGCTCAAAGCGTTCTAGACGGACCCAACCTCAAGAATTCCCCGACGCCCCCTTTTACGCGCCCCCCCCCGTCGCATGCGTCGTCCTCTTCCTCCGCCTTTCCCTCTCATTCCCCTTTTCCCTCCCTTGTCATCGTCATCGTCTTCGTTTTCGTTTTCGTCCTCCTCGTCCTCTGCCTTCGTTCCCCCTCCCGCCCTGGTCGTCGCCGTCTTCCTCCTCCTATCCTTTTGCGTTGCTCCTCTTGCTCCTCCCCCTTCCGCCTCCTCCCTCACCCCCTCCTCGCGGCTGCCCTCCTCCCTTCCTGGGGCGCAACCTGGGGCGCAACAAAGTTTACAGCGCTTCAACCTTCGAGACGACGTGGCTATGGGCACACCTTGCAACCGCCATTGGCCACGCCTCAATGACGACGGACCGAGGGGCGCCGAAGGATCGACGCGAACATGCGCGGGAACGCGATAGGCCTTGCCATCGCGGCTCGGGGCCGCAAACTCCCGGCGGGGCCCTACAGAGGAAATGAAGAAGAGAGACGACAAGAAATAGAAGAGGCGCCAGGCTCTCCGCGTGGAGCTCCAGGAGCTCCACTAACCCGCCGATGGCGGGCGGCCCCAATGCCTCCCTGGTTCTTCCTGCGCGACGGGACACCGGTTACCCCGCGTCGCCGTGCGGGGCACGCGGCGCGTGTCACCGCGCATGGGTGACCTTGCCCGCCCCCAAGGGGGGTCAGGCGGTACACGTCTGGAGCCGCACTCTCCACGAGTCGACCCTTCTGGCCACGCCCGGCACCCCGTCGTCAGGGGCGGGCCCCAACAGTGGCCAGAGCCAGCCCCCGCACAGGCTGGCACCACGCAGGCCGACGCGGACTGGAGAACCAGTCCGCGCCAGCAGATCGACTCCGCACGGGGACCACCCCGCAGAGTTGGGGGGCCGCCCCTGGCCCGCCAGGGCGCCAACACCCCCGGGCCGCGGCGCCGCAAGCGACGTCTTGGCGGACTTCAGCCCCCTCCCTTCCTCGTCCCCATCCTCGTCCTCCTCCCCGTCCTCCCCCTTCCACTCCTCCCTTCCCATCCCTCCTCGCCCTCGTCATCGTCCATCCCTGTCCCCTCTTCGGTGGGCCAGGTGCGCACGAGAACTGCCGCCGCGTCCCCTGCCCCTGCCCCTGATCCTCCCCCCTGCCTTTCCTTAGCTCCCAACACTCCCCCCCCAACTTCTCCCTTCCGCGCACGGGCTTGCACTGCTGCCCGTCGTCGTCGGCGTCTTCCTCCTCCTCCTCCTCGACCTGCTCTCACCCTCCGCCTCCATATCCTTCCTCTCCTCCACCTCCACCCACTGCTACTTGATTCTACGGAAAGCACCCTGTCTGATACCGCACGGTACGCTCAGAACAGTTCTGGCATAACATACACCCATTACAGTACTCAAACGTGCAGGGTGTACTCCACCTCCACCTCCATCTCCTCATCCTCCTCCTGCGTGCCTCTTATTCCTCCTCCTCCTCCTCCTCGCCCTCGCCTTCCACACCCACGTTTTCCTCTCCTCATCCTCCTCCTGCCTTATCCGTTCATGATGCTTACTGGTGCATGCTCCCCTCCACCCTCGCGCGTTCGATAACTTGAACGGGCGACGCCTTTCTTCCATGCGTCCCGCCCGTCCACACTATCCGTCCTCGTCCCTCCAACTCTTCTGTTCCTCCTGCTAATCCTTCCCCTCCTCCTCCTACTCCTCCTCCTCCTACTCCTCCCGCCCCGCCTTCATCGCACCACCCTTTCTCCCTCCCTCTTTTTTCTCCCCGCTCCCCTCCTCGCTCTCCCCCCCCGCCAACTCTCCGTGCCCCTTCAACTACCACGCATCCCCTCCCCCACTCCACCACCTGCCCCTCCTCACTCCTCCTGCTCCTCTTGCCCTGCCTCCTTCCTGATGGCAACTGCCATGGCGGCAATGGAAACAGGGAGGAGAAGGGGAGAAGGAGGGCAGGAAAGGGGGAGAAGGAGGGAAGAAGAAATGGAGGAGGACGAGCAGGGCCAGCAGGAGGATCAGGAGGAATAGCAGAAGGACCAGCAGCAGCGGGATCAGGAGCAGGATGAGTAGGATGACGCAGACAAAGGGACGGACATAGAGGAACGTGTATAGGAGGAAGAAGCAGAACGAGGACGACCAGGAAGCTGGAAACACATGCGGCTGGATTCACATGGGGAACGTGCCAAGGCCACGCACTGAATATAGACATGCGGAGTGCTTGCGTACCCAGCCATAGAAAACCGCGCTCTGAAACAAACATATGCGGCCACACATGTATCCAGCTCCAGCCATGGCCAGCCATGTCACGTGTATCCGGCTCCCTGCTACGAGGACGAGGAGAAGGAGGGGGAGGAACAGCAGCAACAGCAAGCGAGAGACGCTTGCGCAGGCAGCCGCGAGGCCGACGCTCAACACCAAGGGAAGAAGGCCGTCCAGCGGTCGGCTTTGCCAAGGTAGGCGCAGCGGCGGGCGCTGGCAGAGACGATGACGTGGCGGGGCCTCGTTGTACAGGATCCACTCGGGCTTGTGCGTGATGCAGGTGGACGGGTGCATGGCCACCACCTGTGCGTCGCAGGGGTGGGGCCGGGATCGTGCGGTCTCCCTCTGTCTCCCTCTCTCTCTCTCTTGTCTGTCGTCCCTCTCTCTCTCTATCTCTTTTCTCTCTGCATTCGCCTCTCTCTCTCTCTCTCGTTTCTCTTTGTCTCCCTCCCTCTCTCTCTCTCTCTCCCTCCCTGTCTCCCTCCACCCCTCCCTCTCTCCCTCCTGCCCAGCACCCTTCAGGACAGAGCGCGGCCACAGGTGCAGGGCCCCCCTGCGGCCCTTCCAGACCCGCACGGGCAGGCTGGATACCAGAAGAAGAACAGCTGCGTAGACATAAGCTTTTTTGAGGGATGAAAAAACGACCCTACCCTGGGTTACAAGTGCGTGGTCTGTAAACCTCCTGGGGACCCCCAAAGCCTAGAGCCGCCAGGACGCGGCACATCACGCAGGGTTTACCCTGTCAGCCCACAGGAGTTTCAGCGCACAGCGCCTCGTAAACCAGGGTAGGGGCGTTTTTTATGCCCTTGACTTTTGGCGCTCCGCGCGGATTTCTTGGATCTGGGCTGGACCCCCCACCCCTGGCGCGCTCCGCGCGCCAGGGGCGGAGCCGGAGGCGCCGCTCGGGTGGGGGGCCCAAGGCGGATCCAAAGAAATCCGCGCGGAGCGCCAAACGTTCATGCTTCTGGCGTTTCTTCTTCTTCTTCTTCGACATACGCTCCCCCCCACAGCAGGATTTTGGAGGATTTTGGAGGAAAGCTTAAACATAGTCAAAAAGTACTCCAAAACAAGTGCTCAAACATGTCGAAACCTCGTCCCCCCGTGCTACTTTGCAACTGTGCTTGATTCTTCCTTCCTCCTGCAGAGGCATTGGCCCGACTCGACCCCGGGGCGCCAACGATCTGCACCGCCCTTTCGCCCTCCCCTCATCGCGCCGCCGTGACCTGCGCCGCCGCTCCGCCTCTCCGACCGGGGCGGCGGCCGCCGCGTGGCCCCGCCAGACTCTGGCGCCCCCGACGTGCCGCCTCCGGAGGGCGGCCGCCGCCGCGCGCCGTGCTTTTCTCGCGCCCCTTCCGCCTCGGCTGCCGTCGGGGCGGATCGGAGAGGACGGGCGAGAAGACACAGCGCGCCGTGCGTTTTGCGCCCCTCCGCCTCGGCTACCGTCGGGGTTGATCGGAGAGGGGACGCAAGACCCTTCCGAGGGGCACACTGCCATCGGAATGTGGCAGGGCATGGGTCGCGGAGCTCAGGACACAAGGGTGCCCTTGATTTGACAGGGTCGACCTGCTAATCAGTCTCGACTGCGCCACGTCCAGTGCGCCTCGTTTTCGGCTCGTCCACCACTGGAACTCTGCACTTCGAGTTCCCGTTCTAGACGAACGGGTCCTTCCCGATTCGCTCGCGCGAGATCCTCCCGACTGTCTGGCCGATCTACGCAAAATCCTCCCAGCATGCAAGCCTCAGGCACTCCGAATGGATTGTCGCGACATCTGTGACGCTCTTCGCGCTCTTCGTGCCGAAATCCTCCCCCCGCCTGTCCGACGGGGTGGCCCCCATCTTCTTCGTGGCGTTCTCCATGGTGACCGTCAGGATCACAATGGTGAACTTCGTGGTGCCCTGCGTGACCTTCGTGGCGCTCTTCATGTCGAAACTCTACTTCCACACGCCGTCCAGGAAGGCCACCAAGCCAAAACTGCAACCACCTCCCATGCGTCAGACCATCGCGACCTTCTTGACGAGCGTCCGCCGAGTGCCGATGAACTGCTCATGGCCACCAGGCCAACTGCATCCAGCCCCCGCGTTGTAGTTTTAGGTCGGGCATGTCCCCCTGCAGGTGGATTGTGGGCGAAAGGACATAGAAACCAACTGCTCCCAAAGGGCGAAAAATCAGAGAAACATCGTCCCTGGACTTGTGAAACCGCTCTTGACGACTCCTCCTGCAGAGGGGCACGTCCGCCGGCGACTTCCGGCGCCAGCCACGGGGGCCACCGGGCCGGCACACTGCAGCCGCCCCCCCCGCCGTGGTCCATCGTGGCCCTCCCGCCGAAGAGTCCGCCGATCGTCACTGGAGCTGCTCAGAGCGGCCACTGCACCGACCTTGCAAGACGTGCTGCAGTGGATTCTTGCGTGGATTTCTGCCAATGCCCAACCCCGAACTAGCGGGTGAAAAACGACGTGAATTTCGCGTGGATTTTTTGGTCTAGCCTCCCTTCCCGGCACCAAAAACTCTGCACGAAAATCACCTCGAAGTCCGGAACGCAATTCTCCAGGACACTCCGGGCCCATCCTATTGTTTTCGGACCGAAATCCGCTCTGCGATGCTGGCGCCATGGGAACGGCAACCGGGCAAAAACCCCAACCAGTCGTTCCTTGAGCGCCAGCGGTCTCCCGTGAGCATTAGCCACCTTGGGCGCCAGGCCCATGCTGCCGCGGCTCCTCCTGTCGCAGCTCCTCGCGACTCTGCCTCCCCTGGGCGCCCTCCGATTATTACTGGAGACCTCCAGATGGGCCACCAGGCCCACCCTGCAGCCTGCTTTCCTGAAGTAGTTCCTCGCGACCGTCCCCATGAGCGCACGCCGACCACCGTCGATCGCCAGGCGCCTTGCTCGACGACGCCGACCCGACCGACGACCACAAGTCGGCCGCCCGCCAGCCGTGCGACCCCCAACGAGGACCCTCCGAAGACTGTCGCCGACCGTCCGCCGACCGTCAGACCCCCGACCACCGCCGGCCGTCCCACACCCAACGACGACGTCCGACGACCGTCCGCTGCCGACCTGCCGACGCTCGCCCAAAAGCGGCGCCATCCGCCATGCCATGACACACTCCGACTGGACGCGACCAGCACCCACAGTGCGGCCGCCTCACGCCGCCCTCGCGCCGCAGGCCACACGCTGCAACTGCTCCGCAACCTTCGGTCCCCCTCCAAGCGAGCACGCCAGCTGAATGGCAGCTTGCCCGCCGGCTCCTGGAGTACCATTTTGGGCCCGCCACTGCGCAGTCCCGAATGGCTCCCCGACGAGCGGTGCCTCAAGGGTCCCCCAGACGCGGACCTCGCCCACATCCGTGCGTTGGCCCTCCAGCTGGCCACACGGGCCCCGCTGCGTGCGTCACCCCCGCGGTTCGCGCTCCGCCGCTCCGAGTATCGCGCCAAAGCGCTCTCGGCAGCCGAAAGGCCCGGGCGCCACACGCCAAAGAGCACACCGACGACCCTCCCCTCCTAGCTACAGCGTCCCCCAGCACACCACTAGCCGGATGCCACGGCACCCACACACGCCGCCTCTCCCTGCGCACGCGGCGAACCTCGTGACCTCCAGAGCTGCGCGCCTGGCGCTGCGATCCCGGCTGAGGCGCCACCCCCAACGGTATCCCGCGCACTGCCGCGACCAGGCACGTCAGGCGGCGCCCTGCCCCACCCAGCAGCGCCCCGACCCCACCAGCAACGCCCTGCCGCGCCCATCCGCTCCCTTCAAGCCTTTACGGGTGTCGATCCCGCCCCCGCCGAGACCACCAGGTTGGGCGACACTAAAATGACGACGACGTCCTACGACTACGACGATCCGCCGCCGACCGTCAGACCGCCGTCCGACGACGACCGTCCGTTGCCTGTCCAACGATTGTCAAACGACAACGCGCCGACGCCCGCCGCCGTTCGCCGACCGCACGTCGACCGACCAGTGCGCGCGCCCGATGACCCGGGCGCCACTGCCCGACACCCCGCCGCCATGGCTCTTCGCGACCCTCCCTCCGAGCGGCCGCCGAGCTCCCCTGAACCTCCCGGCAGTGCCACCGGGCCCGCGCGACAGCCAGACTCCACGCTGTCTGTCACTCAAGCCCTCCTCCCCGCCCCGTGCCGCGAGGGCGTTGGCGCCTTTCTCCGCCTGTGCGTCCCATTCCCGAGCCTCCTTCACGGGCTCGCCTGGCTGGCCACCGCGATCCGAGATCTGACTGCCCTCCTCCACGTGCTGCTCCACCTCGCAGCGCGTTGCCACAGACGGCAACGACGAGGCCCGCGACCCGCCGCGGGCACTGTTCCCGCCCTCCCGCTGCCCTTCGGCGTGGCAAGCCTCCAAGACTGGCCGCGTGGCTCCCGTGGGCCCATTGGCTGCCCTCTAGGACGCGGGGGAGGCGTACGAGGAGTACGAGGAGGAGGAGGAGGAGGAGGAGGAGGAGGAGGAGGAAGCGGAGGAGGAGGAAGCGGAGGCCATCAGAGGAACGCGCCCGGCGCCCGCTGCATTGACCTCGCCAACGACGGCGATCCTGCCGCACGCCAGCCCAAAGACCCTTACGGCCCCTGGCGACCCCCCACGGCCTCCATCCTCGCCCGGCCTTCGCGCCCACTCACTTTGGGCGCTAGCCGCCGACCTGGGTCACCCCACCCAGTTACTGACCTCGAACCCGCCCGTGGGCTTCGGATGAAGGGCCCCCCCTGGTCCGACGCCTTCGGAAGCGGGCTAGGTGGGAACCTGTCCCGATTCAAATATCAAAGTGTGTCACACTTGATTCTGATGTTGTGGGATGGAGGGTGAGAATGGGGGGGGCCTGCTGACTCGTTCGACCTGACTAACTTGATACCCCCCTGCTCCTCTTCCTCACGCCCCGCTGGCTGCAGCTCTGCTCGGGTCGCTATGGGGAGAGCTAGCTGGAATACACTTTCGCGCAACGACGCTCGCGTGAAGATTGGTCTCCCGAAAACCACGTCGCCATACGCTTGTCGCGAACGACGGTAACTATGGTCGCCGCCTGCTGCACCGGGGTCGGCCTGACTCTGGGACTGGCCCACTCATGCATGCGCGTCCCGAGGGATGGAAGGGCGTGGGAGGGGGCGCCTGGTTGTCCTTGATGGTGAGGTAGTGCCCTGACTTCTCCAGGTGCGCTATCTGCATGAAGAAGCCAGAGACAAGGCACCTGGAGCCCGGCAAGCGAACGCCAGGCTACCCAACTGTGCGCTCTCAGGGGGGGATGTGGGGGGGGCCGTAAAGGATACGAGCATTGGGGAACTCCACATGTGCCTTGAATGCCACCCTCGGAGAATTGCAGCTGGCACGAAGGTCAATCACAACCCTAGCTCTGGAGGGGCGCCCTCCTGCCAATCGTCTTTTGGGCCTTCCACGTTGGGGTGCTCTCTGTTACACGCCGGTCGGAAGAAATAGGTAAAAGCATGAAGTAGGATGGCGTTGGAAGTAGATTGGGCTTCCACCTGCCCCCTGAGGAGGAGGAAAGAAGGAAAACCGTTCGACTCTTGAAGTAGGAAGGCGCCTAAAAGAGATTGGTGTTTGCGCATTCAAAAATACCTACTTTCAACGACCGGCTTGTATAGGGCACCTCCATGGGGCCTGGGGTCCCTCGGAGCAGGGGCTCATGCTCTTGAAGAGCGTGACAGCATTCCGACTGTAGGTGGAGAGCGAGCCCAGGCTGAGCGGACAGTCCGCCGTCCTCCTCCCCCACCCCTCCTCACTGCTGCATCCTCTGTGCTGCTCCTTCGAGTCTACCAACCCTCTGGGCGTCAGTGGTTTAGCCAGTTTCCTCGTCCAACCCCCTCCCCCTACCCCCTCCCCCCAGGTCTGGATTGGGCCTCGCCCTCCTCCCCCCCTCCTCCTGGGGAAAGGACAGGGTTTACCCCTCCCCTTCCCCCTCGGAAAAGGGTTTAGTCATTGTTCCCTATCAATATGGACCCCCTCACCCCACCATCCCTGTCAAAAAACAATACTACAATCCGCATTATGCCTCCACATTTGTAGCATGCGTGGCCAACCCGATGCGCCCCCCCCACCACCCGTCAAAAACATGATCGACCCACGAACCCGGAAAGCAATATAGACATGTAAGGCATGGCAACGTTTCAAAGACACCTGATTGGGCGACGGGCAAACGCAATGCTGAATGTATCGATCTTGATGTACCGTGCCGAGAGCTGTGCTGTGCAGCGCCGTGCTGAATTGCGATGTGCCATGCCGAGATTGTGCTCTATAGCGTTGTGGATCGAGTCCTCCTTTGCATCCGAGTCCTGACCGAACTGATCTGGATCTTAAGCTCGAGCTAATATAGTAGCTGCCCCAGAGCTAATTGACAGGGGAACATGCCAGGAGGACGCGACGCGGAACGTCCCAAGGGACGCGCCAGGCGACGTGCCAAGGGACGTGCCACGAAGACGCACCGCGGGACGTGCCGAGGGGACGTGCTACGGAACGTGCCAATGGGCGTGCCACGGGACGTGCCAGGGGACGCGCCGCGCGACGTGCCAGGGGGACTCGCCACGGGACGCGCCAAGTTGCAGTGCTGAGTGTATCGATCTTGATGTGCCGTGCCGAGGGCTGTGCTGTGCTGCGCTGAGCTGAACTGCGATGTGCAAAGCCGCTCCTAGGGCCACGAAAACAATTCACACTGCGCCCACGCTCCAAGGGCCCCGATCCCTTGTATATTACACTGGGGTCGCGCTCCCAGGGCCCCGACACATCGTAAATTACGCTGCGCCCGCACTCCAAGGGCCACGATCCTTTGCAAATTACGCAGGGTCCGCGCTCCCACTGTCCCACTGCCGCGATCCCTCGTGAATTACACTGGTGTCGCGCTCCCAGGGCCACGATCCCTTGTAAATTACGCTGCGTCCGCGCTCCCAGGGCCACGATCCCTAGTAAATTACATTGGGGTCGCGCTCCCATGGCCCCGACCCCTGTGTGGCCAAGGAAATCATGGAAAAACAAGCGAATCAACATCCTCGAAATTCCTGCGCGCGGGACGCGGCACGCGCGAGACATCCTCGGAATTCCTGCGCGCGGGACGCTTTTCCGCGTCGCGGTCGGGGCTCCAGACCTCGTTTTTGTTTGGGTCGATGATTCTGCTGAACATGCCCCGCACCTTTTTTTTCACAAAGTGAAGCGGTGGTCCGCGGACCCCGTTATTCATCGAGGATCCAAGCTGAGGGGCTCACTTTCCTCGAGCGAGCACGCGCGAAACGTATTTTTGTTCACGCCGAATTGGGCTTTACCTATTTAAATCGAGCGGAAATCCGCCGGCCTCCTTCAAGTCAAAACAATGGGTAAACCTACTAAAAGAGAACCCCTTTTCCGAGAAACCATACAGGATATAATTTGGGGCAATGTCTTGAGTCATGTTCGTGAGGCCTGCGAGCACATTGTATTGCTTGGGATATGGACGGCTGGGGTGCCAGCATATTCCCTGCTGTGCGCAGGGCTACCATCCCCTACAATAACCAATAAAGCATGCACCTCGCGGCTAGATCTGGATCGCGCGCGGCCATCCCGCGATCACTGTCAACTGGTTTTTGACAGGGACGGCGGGGGTGGTGTCGCGTGGACTGCTGTGCGCAGGCCCGCCAGGCACAATGATGGGCATTGGTTTTCGGAAGTGATGGCGGGGGCCGACATGCTTCCCGATGTGTGCTATCTCGTGCGCAGGTGCACCTGACGCACTCTACACGTGCCCCTAACGTGGCGCACCTGGCGCGGCTGGAGTGTGCGGTACACCTGGCGCACTCGGAGCAAGTGGCTCATCTGGCGCATCAGGCGTGCCTGGCACGCTCGGGCCCCAGGGGTGCCTGGCGCGCGTGGCGCCCCTGGCACGCGTGGCGCACCTCGCCCACACGTCGCGTACCTGGGGTCGGCTTTGGTTCCCAGTAGCTGCCCATCCAAAGACGACCGCTGAACATGCTCAGGCTCGGGTGTTACTTATGTGTTGGGAGGGCGGGTGGGAGCGAGCTAGACGGCTTGCGGGCAGGTGGGTAGCTTGACCCTCCCCCTCCCCCCTCCCCCTGGGTCTGGACTCGGCCTTCCACGAGGGGTTGGAGCGTCCAAGATGGCCTCGGCGACGAAGCCAGCACCATTGATTTTATACAAAAGGTTTTGGACACATGTTCGCCTGCTGGGGGGGTCTAATGTACTACGCCCCCTCCTGTGATGATCTCCTCCTAGATGGCCCAAAGATGGCCTCCGAGGCTCCCAAGGGTACCCCCAGAGGGCCTAGGATGCGCCAAGAGGCCCTCAAGATGCCCCTAACATGCCCGTCAAAGGCTCCCAATATACACCTGAGAGGTGCCAAGAGGCTCCCCCAGAGGCACCTAAGACGCCCCAAGAGGCTCAGCGAGAAGGCGAACATCATTGGTTTTACTGAGGTGTTGGCCACATTTGAGCCTCCTGGAGGGGGGGGGCCTAATTACGGACACCCCCTCCTTTGGTCGATCTCCTCCAAGATGGCCCCCGAGGCTCCCAAAGGTGCTCCCAAGAGGTGCCCAGGAAGCCCCAAGGGGCTCCCAACATGCCGCAACGAGGCTCCCAAGAGACCCGAAGAGACGCCAATAGGCCCCCCAGAGGCACCCAAGACGCCCCAAGAGGCCTCGGCGAAAAGACAACAACCATTCATGTGACAATGGTGTTGACCACAATTTGGCCTCCTGGAGGGGACCCTGATTAAAGATCCCCCTCCTTTGGTCGATCTCCTCCAAGATGGACCCAAGATGGTCCCCGAGGCTCCCAATGGATGCCCCAAACGGGCCCCGAGAGGTGCCCAATAGGCCCCACTGTGCCGCCCAGAGGCTCCCACGAAGCCCCCAAGAAGCCCCAAGAGGCTCACCAGAAAAGCCCAAGACGCCCCAAGAGGCACCCGAAACTGCCAACAGACCCCCAATACACCCTAAAAGGACTCCAAGAAGCTCTCGGAAGAAATCCGAAGAGACTCCGGGAGGCAGCCAAGAGGCTCTTGGTCTTTCTCGTCGCCCTCCTCCTCCGCCTCCTCCTCCTCCTCCTTCTCATCCGCCCATTCCTCCTCCTTCATCCTCCCTCCCCCCCTCTTCCTCCTCCTCCTCCTTCTCCTCCTCCTCCTGCTCCTTCGATTCCTCCTCCATCCTCCGCCTCTTGGGGTATGACGTTCTACCCAGCCATTTATTCCACGGCATGCTACTACACATCCCTGATCAAGGCAACTCGTCTGGCCATCGTTATGGATGGGCGGACGGGCTGGTGGGGTACCCGAAGCGTCTAGAATTGCCTGTCGGTGCCCCCCCCACGTACTACCTGGAAATCGGTCGCCCCATGGAAGGTGGGTGGACCACCAAATGTGCGCTTCGAAAGCGCTTCGTGCATCAAGGCTGACGGAACGTGCATGGAACGAGGTTGCAATGACACGACTCCTCCTCATCCTTATCATGCTCTCCTTCGTCCAAGTAGGGGCCAAAAGCGAGACAGGCACTTCCGAATATTCGGGTAGTACTCCTTGTCGTTGAAATCCGTGCTCACCTCGGAAATCAACACTCGTTGCCAACACAGACACGGCATGTATCACTGCTTTGTCCGTGGTCACATTTGCTGCAGCATAGCTGTGCATGGCCGCACAGGCACTTTCTGGCCTGTCGACGCTCAGGGGATGCCGAACTGAGGACACAATATTGCAATTACGAAGGAGCATGCAGCACATTCAGTCCTGGGTGTGACACCTGTCTCGATGCCACCCTTCCAAGGGTATCATCAGAGCCTCCAGGATGTCATGCTGACCTCCTCTTCCTCCTCCTCTGCCTCCTTCCTCTTACCTCCTTTTCTCCCCCCTCCCCTCCCTCCTCCCGCCTTCCTCATTATTCTCATTCGTCCCTCTTCCCTCCGCCTCTTCCCTCCCTCGGAATCCGATGCAATTGCCCACCACTGGCGCTGATCCTCGTCAGACGTTCCAGGCAGTCGCCCATCACCTGCCCCGGTACTGGACGTGCGCACCCAGACCTCTTTGGGCTGAGTAAGCCATGTGGGCGCGCTGGCGCTCTTCTCCGGAGCGCTGCCATCGCACAGTGCAGAAGCCAGAGGACCAATTGAGGGGGAGGAGGAGGAGGAGGAGGAGGAGGAGGAGGAGGAGGAGGAGGAGGAGGAGGAGGAGGAGGAGGAGGAGGAGGCATCGCGCACTAGCGCACGATGCCTCCAATGGAGGGATCCTCGAATCTTCTGGCGCCCTGCCCCACGACATTCCGCATGCTGCGCGGATCTCCAAGAGCGTCTCGGAGTGCGGGCCGCCGACGCCGCCCCAGGCGCGGCGCCCCCCCCGTCGAGCGAGCCGACCGTGCACTGCCCTGCAGAGCTGCCGCACTCCACCCCTGCATGGCAGCCGGCGCGCCCCTCCCTCCCTCCCGCCGTCGCCCGCCTGCCTGCTGCTGGCCGGCAAGAGAGAGGACGGGATGAATGAGGCGGGGGAGATGGAGATGGGACTAGGGGAAGAAAGAGAACGATGCACATGCACCGATTCTGGCAAGGCCCATCCTGAGCCCAGGGTCGGTGCATCCGCCCTCCTACCTTGGCCAGGAAGGCACATGCACCGATCCTGGGTCAAGGATGGGCCTTGCCAGGATCGGTGCATGTGCATAGTTCTCTTCGCCCGATGAGATAGGGGAGGAGGGGGCCACTGGAATGGGGGGGGCCCTTCAACATCGAGCAAGCGTCGGCGCTGCGGGAGGTACGGGGCCTCCCTCCGCGGCACCTGGAGCCCCGATACGCCCCCCTGCCTAACATCCCCAGGCCCTCCACAACCTCCGACCGCCATCCCCTACCTCCTCCACTCCCCCGCCTCCTCCTCTGCCATTCCCCCGCCTCCAGCGTCTCTGGCTAGGGTAGCCCTGCCATCCAGCGTCCCCGCTGCATTTACGCAGCCTCCCCAGAGAGATGTAAGGCGGAGGGAGAGGATGAGAGGAAGGGAGTGAGGAGGAAGAAGGAGGAAGAGACGGAGGAGGAGAGGGAGTAGATGATGATGATGATGATGATGATGATGATGATGATGATGATGATGATGATGATGATGATGATGATGATGAGGATGATGATGAGGATGATGAGGATGATGAGGATGATGAGGATGATGAGGATGATGAGGATGATGATGAGGATGATGATGATGATGAGGATGATGATGAAGCTGATGAGGATGATGATGATGAGGAGGAGGAGGAGGAGGAGGAGAAGGAGAGGGAGGAGGAGAGGAATGAGGAGAAGCATCAGGGGCAGGAGGCTGTTGAGCGCGAGCGGTGCCCGTCGGAGGCGTGTGCGGCGCGCCATCTGGAGCTGGATCCGCTCCATCGTGCGCTTGAGCTGCTCCCGCACGTTCTCGGCCGACCTGGCGCGGGCTGCTGGAGGGGCGGCCCCTGGGGGAGCTGGGCGGAGGGTGTGAGGGGGGGTCCCTTTTGGGCTGGTGGAGGAGAAGGAGGAGAGGAGAGGGAGAAGGAGGAGAAGGAAGAAGATGGGGAAGACGCGGGGTGGGAGGAAAGGAGAAGAGGAGACGAGGGCTGGGCGGTGGGTGGGAGATTGAAAGAGGACCAGGACAAACCCAGGATGCATCAACGATGCTGCAATACACTACACCATCCCGTCCCAGGTCCTCCCCTCATGGATCCATGCAAGCGCTCCTTCTCACTGGGAGATGTCCTCCCTTGAAATCTGACACTCAGGCGAAAATTCAAAAGGATGCCAATTGCCTCCCTTTAGTTAGTTGATTACACAAACCCAGAAAGTCCACATCAGAACATCCAACGCGGTGTCCAACCATGTCCCCGTGGAAAAAGGAGGCGTGTCAATATCAACTGTTTCATCAATTTGCACATCTGGTCACCAACATCGAAGGAGCCTCAAACGAGAACCCCATGTTGAACAACCACCGTCCTCCATCCGTGTACCAACTACTTACGTATTTTCAAGCTCCAGGTCGCTAAATCCCGCCAGCCCTTTCGCCGTAGGTAGCTTAGCTGCCTAGTTATTCTGACCTCCTCCCCCCTGGGCGAACAGTTCACCTCACCCACAACCCTCTGCCTGGGTCTGGAGGGGCCCAGACGGGTGCTTCGAAGGTCCAGACCCCAAAAGGGCCCCCGATAGCCCAAGGTGGCCTCACACATCGCACAATATAGCATACATGGGTCAAGATATCATCCAGCATGCCTCCAATAGGCGCCTTGATCGCCTCAAGACGACGCCAGGTGGTCACGGAGCCTTCAAAGCCCCCCCCCCTAGAGAGACCAACATCCTTCCAGCACCTATTGAAATCCAACGCTCTTTCTGTTCCCGCCCCTTCGTTTCCGATGGGCTCTTGAGGCCTCAAGAGGGCTCCAAGGTGGCCCAACATGGGCGCAAGACGGCCCCAAGAGCGCCCAAACGGAGCCCCAACATGTATTATGTCCGTCTCCGAGGTGTGTGTGTGTGTGGGGGCGTAATTAATAACCCGCCCTTCTTTCATCGCTAGCCTCCAAGATGATCCCAAGAGGGCGCCCCCATGCCTCCAAGATGGCCAGACGATGGCCCCAAAGTCTGTCAAAACGGCCCCAGGAGGGCCCCCAAACAAAGCCCAACTATGGCCCCGAGATGCCTCCAAGTGGCTCCCAGAGCGTGACTGCGTGCTACTACACATCCCTGATCAGGATTACTCGCCTGGTGACTTTCGTGGATGGGCTGATAGAATACGCGAAGCATCAAAACTTTGAGCGTCAATCCCTTACCATGTTGCGAATTTTTGCAAAGATGTCGCGCGACGTCGTGGCGACAGCCCCATTTTGAAAACTAGACGCCGTCCATCCCTGCAACTGCTGCAAGCGTTTAAGAAGAGTGTGCGCAACGCTGAAGCGAGTACCCAATTTTGAAAAATACCGCCCTCAACGTCAAACTTTGAAACTGTAATGAGCGGGGAAGGTCCAAGCAAACCGTGCGGATCGCCAGACCGACCTCGGTGTGCGGCAGGAGAGATGAGTTTTCCCCAAACAGCGCCTGCACTCAGAGACTCTGGCTTCGCTTCCTTAGGGAATTCGGATGGGTCCCCTGAGGTTTCGGTTGGTGCCCGCTTGTTGCCTGGTCGTACAATGGGGGCCCACCCATAAGAAACTTTTCACAAACAAAAAAACCCAACCCTGAGACCCCAAAACGTCCATAGATTATTGTGTGGGAACGTCCCGCTTTACTTAGCAAAACCGTCAAAACCCAAGAAACCCAAGGCACCCTGGATGCAAGCAGGGCGTTTCTTGGCATGGGCATCCACTGTACGCTCCCGACGGGCCCCGCGCCAGGGATACCTCGTGGTGTCTGCTGGTGCCCCATTGGTGCTCAGTCGCTGGCGCGTCTCGTGGGCGCTGCGCACTGGGGGGGGATACCTCGAGATCTCGTCTAGTGCCCAATGGTTTGGTTGGCCCAAGAGGGGGTCCAGCTGAGAGGGGGTGGAGCCCAAGAGGGGGTGGAGCCCAAGAGGGGGCCCAAGAGGGGGTCCATCTTGGCCCTTCTGCGACCTATTTGGAGCCTGCCTGCGGGGGGGGGGCGGGAAAGTTCTGGGGAGGCTCAGGGGAGGTCCTGGGAAGGTCCCGGGGGGGGAGGGGAACTTAGCGTTGTTGTGGTGCCCCTGGAGGTCTTCGGCCTGGGGGCCCCAAGGGCCAGGTTTCCGGTTTATGATCTGAATATATATATATATATATGTGTATGTATGCGTATACGTTTGTATAATATATATATATATATATGTATGGGGAAAGAACAGGGACACCTAAACTGGGTAACGCCTAAACGGGGTAACACACCCAACATAGGATCCAGACGGAGAAACTGCAACGGCGAGAAAAACAAACTGCACGGCAGTGTTTATGCAACGCGAAGAAACAACACTGCACTTGTTCTGAAACTAGTTGGGGACAAAATGCAAACAAGCCCCATAGACCAGGCAACAGAGGCCCAAAACAAAACGTTGCAGTGGAACAGCAGAAAATTTGCAACGCATATGTGGCAGGTGCAGCAGTGAACGCGAAAACCGCACAAAAAAACTGCACTGCAACAAGGTGCGCGTTTGTTGCATCGAACCAGCCATTTCCTATGACCCCGTCTGCTGTTCCCCCCTCGCCGCTTTCCCGATGAATTCCTGCGATTTCGACGCCGGGGGCCGTTTCACTCTGGCCTCAAGAGCACACAGAAAGATGTGGGGCGAACGTCGGCGGCGCGCTCAAGGGGGGAGGCAGAGCGGGCGGGTATTCTCAGCAGGCCCAGAAGTCATCTGGCCTTCTGAGAAGCTTTTGAAGCCCTCTCCAAAGCCCCAGAGAGCTTCTCAGAAAGCCAGGGGGTTTCCGAGAAGCCCCGACGCCTTCTGAGAAGACCTGCTCCCTCTCACTTCCCCCCTCGGCGCGCCGCCGAGAAAAGCCTGCCCCGGGAGTGTAAAGAGGCCCAAGGAAACACACATAAATACACACAAATCCGAGGATGCACCCGTATTTCCCACATTTTCTTGGTCTTTGTCTTCCCCCATTTCCCATATTTCCTAATATTTTCCAAAACATCGCCGATAGATTGTGTCTGTGTGTGTTTTCCCTATCCTGAGAGGTGGTGACGAGGGCTCCAGGGGCCCACGGACTGAACAAGGCGGCGTCGGAGGTCGGAGCCGCGGGAGTTCCAGGAGACTCTGGTGACGAGCAGCGATCTTTCGGGGCGACCTGCTCCGGGGGGGGGAGTGTCGACCCGACATCGGCGATACGTCGCCGATAGATCGCCGAAACGTCGCCGACAGATCGGCGATCGGCGATCTATCGGCGATCGCGGTAGATCGGCGATAGATCGGCGATAGATCGCCGATACGCCGACGATAGATCGGAACCCCACGTTCCTGGGCGGGGAGGGCCACGAGCTCACCTTCGGCGAACAGCGGATAGGGGGTCGGTGCGTTCCCGCAGAGCCTCTCCTCCCTCCCTGCAAACTGTGAGGCCACGGGGCCTCTCCTCTCCTCCCTCTTCCCACAGGGCCTCTCCACATGTTCGAGGCCACGGCCTCCACGCCATGCCCTAATGGGCACGGGCGTGCTCCCCGTAGGAGCACGCACGGCTCCGGCGTTTCGCTTCGCTTCGCTTCCCTGCAAACTGTGCCCGTGAAGGAGGGGGAGCTGCAACAGGATGCCCCCAGGGGGTCCCCGAGCAGCGGCAGCAGGAAGCGGAAACGGCGCGAGAAGGCCAAGGAGGAGGCGAATTGTGCCGATCGAAGCCCGTTAGAAAAGCGCGCCCCACTACTCGCAACGTGAATACTTGCAAGTGGCCTGGATCCGCCGCGGGGGATTTACTATACATTACATGACATAGTAAGGAAAACGCGTTGTTTCGGACGTGTGCGAGTACGCACTCTGCGAGCAGTGGAGCGCGCTCGGTGACCCTTCGCAGAGTGGCCCGAGAGAGCGCCCTCTGCTGGCGGGCGGCTCGTCTGCGGGGCAACTGGCCCGGAGGGCGTGCATCTGGGCCACGGGTTGCCCCTCGCCGCGAGAGCTGCTGGCTGAGGCCATCCTGGACGGGCGCCTGGAAGGAAGCTGCCCCACCCCACAGCCCAGGGCCATCCACGGCGACAGCACAGCTGAAACACCGACCGAACCGACAACGAGATCGAAGCCGACCGAAACCGACAGGCGAGGGGCAGCCCAGAAGAGCGCAGTGACGCAGCAGCGGTGCCACGGCCGGTCGAACCGAACCGAACCGAGCGCAGCCGACCGCGACGCCGCTGAGCCGACCGAGCCGCGGACGCCCTTGTGGTTGCAGCCATCTCGCACGGACGCCAGAGGTGATCGGTTCATTCCCAGCCCCCTCTGCTCAAGGGGCCCAGAGACACAACAGAAACATACAGAGGCACGGATCCCAGGATTCCCTGGCTGGCTTCCACCATGTCTGAAGCCCATCGTCTGCCCCACCACCGCTCGCGCTCTCCACGTGCTCTGGGTTATCGACGGCACTTCGTGCTTGCGTGCTCCTTTTCCGCCTGGCCTGCGTGCATCGCTACCCTCGGCGGTGGACAAACCTCCCTTTAGTAAACCTCCCCTCAATGAAAACGGCCTATAGGACCGAAACCGACGGACCTGGACCCGCACAAATGACGGCCGCGACGCCCTCTCGCGAACCGAAAACGGCCAACTCCTTAATCGACGTGTGGTCTGTCCACCCCTGGCAAGCAGGCGTGGCCACTGCCTGCTTGCCAGGGGTGGACAGACCTCCTGCTTGCCACTGCCTGCTTGCCAGGCGTGGCCACTGCCTGCTTGCGACGCCCCCTCGCGAACCGACAACGGCCAATTCCTTCATCGACGCGTCAGGGCAGGAGGTCTGTCCGCCCCCGATCCCCTTGGCAGGCAGGCGTGGCCACTGCCCTGCCCGATTGGAGGGGGCGCGTGCCGCGGGGCCTCCCTCGCCCGGCGCCGGGGCTTGCGGGAGGAGGGCGGCCTCGACGGACAACGCCAGAGAACGGGGCCTCCTGGGACGCACCAATAGAAAGACACAAAAATAGCAGAATTCCATCTGCTCCCAAAGTTCTGGCGTTTTTGGTCTCCCCCCCCCACTTCCCACATCTTCCCATGGTCTCTGGGGAATCGACGATTCATTGTGTGTTTTGCTCCCTCCTAATTAAGCTAGCGAGCCCACGAAGGACTTGCGCGCCCAACCACGTGCGTGAGCACGGCCCCCCCCAATCCGCGACACAAGCCTCGTGATACGAACGTTCGCGCAGTTTGTGCTTTCGAGACCGGCGTGTATCATGCGCGTGTACGTCCCTCTCTTGCTCCTGAAGCATCCTGTCCGAGCAGGGCCACGACGACCATCTCCAGGAGGAGGAGGAGGAGGAGCCTGTTAGCACCACTGCTGCCCTGCCTGACCCATATGATGCTCACCCTCTCCATCATGTGGTGTACTAAGCACTGGCGATTTGCCGAGAAAGATGCACGCCAGGCCTGAGGGACCGCGCGTTGACATAGTTGTCGTAGCAGAACTGCCCAGGATCCATGCCCTCCTGCAATGCACGGAACCGACGAAACGCCCAAGTCGCACAACGCCGGCGCCGACTCATCGCTCCATGCCACCAACGCACATCGAACACTGTTCAGCACAACGTGCCATGTATCATAGACTCTCGTTTCCTGCGATTGCTTGGCACTGGTCTGCTGGGCTGGCATCAAGTCGACAAGTACAACCTCCTGACACCACCGTCCTGCTGCTACTCTAGGAAAAACGGCATAAACATAAAGTTTGGGCGCTCCGCGCGGATTTGGATCCGCGTTGGACCCCCCCCCATGGCGCGCGGAGCGCGCCAGGGGCGGCGACGGAGGCGCCGCCGGGGGGACCCAGCGCGGCTCCAAGAAATCCGAGCGGAGCGCCAAAAAAGTTTATTCGTATGACGTTGTTCCTTCTTCGGTACCCCTCCCCATCCTCGCCTCTCCTCCTTCTCCCTCTATACGCCTCGAGCGAATGCCTGCTGACCGGCGCGCGCTGAAGGACCCGGGCCCTGCGTGCCACGAGGCGCCGCCGTCCCGGCAGCGGAGAGAGGCACACGAGCTGCCTCGGCTACGCGTAAGAGATGGTCCTAGGCAAGAGTGACCTCTGGAGCGCGACGTCCCTAGACCGCGGGGAGGCCGAACTGGAGCGCCCAAGCCGCTGCTGTCGCATCTCATCCAGCCATCACCAAAGTCGGCGGTGGACAAACCTCCCTTTGGTAAACCACTTCGTGACAACGGCCTGGGACCGAAACCGACGGATCTGGACCCGCAGAACCAGCGGCCGCGACGCCCTCCCTCTCGCGAACCGAGAACGGGCAATTCACTAATCGACGTGTCAGGGTAGGAGATGTATCAACCTCCGACAAAGGTCACTCGGGCGAAAGGTCACCCTAACATGTGCCCGCACCAAAGGTCACTCTGGCGCAAGGTCACTCTTACGGCTTGCTGAATTTGCCGAAGACAGACGCATCCTCCGACCCCATCCGCTCCGACCCCATCTAAGAGGCCCAGATTCGAAGAAGCAGGGGTGCTTTTGAGACTCCCTCATCCCTGCCCCCGCTCCCCTCTGCGCATGGCTGCGGTGGCGGGGTTTCTTGGGCCGTTCTGGGACCATCTTGGAGGCCTCTTGGGCGATCTTGGGGCGATCGTTGGGGGCTCTTGGGCCGTCTCGGACGGTCGGAAAGCCGAGAAGAGGCAAATGCAAATCGCTCAAAAACCTTTTTGGAGAATCACAGATCTGGGCCTGCTCGGGCCATCCTTGGAAGCCCTCTTGGAGGTCTCTTGGGCTACGGGCTGCCGGCTACACAGCACGTGAGCACAGGCCTCCGCACCTCGGCCCGTGCGGCCCGCACACTCTGCGCGCCGGGGGCGAGGGGGGAGGCTTTGAGCGGGCCCGGCGACGACGGAGAAGCATCCCGCGGGCGCAGGACGCACGACGCTGCGGGGTGGGGGCTCGCGGCAGGGTCGTGCGGCGTCGGCGCGCGCAAAGGCTCTTGACATCGCGTCGATCGTTCAACCTTCAATCGATCGCGGCCCCACTGCTTCAAGGCTAAATTCTGTTGGGTCCGGTGGCGTTCCCGTGCCCATCGGTGCACCCGGGTCGCAGAATTCAACCTCGGACGCCTTCGCGGGCGTCGCCGGCGCGCCAACGCCGCGCGAACCTAATGTTAGGTTGGGCATGTCCTCCTACAGGCGGATTCAGGACGGAACGTTAAACATACTCTAGAAATGTTTCAAACAAATCAAACAGAGTGGAAAAAATGTCCCCAGACTATTTTTGGAGTATGGTTAAATATTCATCCTGTAGAGGGATACGCCCGACGTAAACCTAACGTATGACGCTGCGAGATGGGGATTCATCCATGCCCATGCAGATCTTTGGGGGCCTTGGCGAGCATAGAACATGGATCTGTTCGCCCCTGCCGGGGCCCCACTGAATAGATCCATATCCAACGCCCGCCGAGGCCCCCGAGGGCTGTGGTTACGGATAATTCCCAGCCTCGGGGACATGGCGAACAGGTAAAGTGGCACCGTTGCCGTTGCGCAGAGCGGCTCGACAAGAAGGTAGGGATGTCGAGCATGTGAGTGGCACAATGGAGTCCAGACTATGACAATCCCTTCCCACACAACAGACAAATCTGGGACCCCCGCATCCAGCAGCGGGCGGGCATCCCGAGGCAACGAATAACCTGGGGAAAACAACTGACCATCGCCAGATCAAAGCATCCGTGATCTGCGCTCCCCGTGATGCTCACTGCGGGCAAGGGGCACGTTGGGAGTTGGCCGGGAGAAGTGACCAATGCCAGCCCCGATCAACCAGCACTTGCGCTCTCCGGAGTGAGGTGATCCCACCTCCCATCTCCCCGAGGTCCCGAAACCATGTGGTGACGGACCGCGCGGTGACCTCGGAACCCCCAGCGACCGGGACATCCTCGGAGAACGACCCGAGCCCCAAAGCCGTGCGGTGACCCCGAATCCTCACCGACTCACCACGCGGTGCGGTCATCACACCGCATGGGGGCCCCCGAATCTTCCTGCCCTCACCCTGCCCTTGCGCACCTGACGCCCCCGGCGCCCACGTGGTACAGTCAACCAGGATACTAATGATGCGCAGTAAGGATGCAAGGGCCTTGGAACGCCACGTTGAGGTTTTCCGCGCGGAGCGCGGCCGAATTCCGAAGGATGCACGGGTACCCTGGCCAAGTTGCCCCATCCTTACTATCATGGTTGACTGTATTGGTCACGCAGAGTCCCGCAGCAACGGAGGAGAGAGGGTCGGCGGCGAGCGAGGGGGGGAAGTACGAAGGAGAAGGCCTTTACAGAAGCTTCGGAAGTCCCCCGGCCTTCGAAGGAGTTCTCTAAGCCTTCCCCGAAGACGCAGACAACGTCTCAGAAGGCCAGGCGGCTTCTGAGATGCCCCGCCGCCTCCTGAGAAGGCCTTCTCCTGTTCGCTTCCCCCCCCCTCGCTCGCCGCCGAGAGGAGGACCGCGAGCGCGCCCGCGCGCGCCCAGCGGGACGGGCCCTGACTCGCAGCCCCATGCTGATTCCGCTTTACTATAGTAGGAGCTCGACCACAAGAAACCTTCCACAAGAAACCCAATCCTGAGACCCCAGGACGTCCACAGATTTTTGGTGTAGGAGTGCCACGACCATCGAAATCCAAGAAACCCAGGGCGCCCTGGAGGCAAGCAAAGTGTTCCTTGGCATGGGCTTCCACTGTATATATAGAGATCCCCCTTTGGTACCTCACCCTGCAAAGTCTCCCCTGCGTTCTCTTCGGCGGGTTCCCCAGATTGGAACGGCTATAAGATATGACATACATGGACAGACACGAATCGTATTTAAAGATGGAGCGACCACAAATGAAAAGCATAAGGGTACCCTTCGAGTGCCAGGGGCGCTCTGAATTACCGTCCCAGCTGTGTTCTCTGCTCTTCTATCCATCCGCCCTGCTGCTTGATCGCTCCTGCTCCTCCTCCTCCTCCTCCCCCTACCCCGCGAGAAGCCACAATACAGAACCTCCCTCGCCTCCACCCATTCGCGTCCTTGCGTCTCCCATCCTTCCCTCCACCCTCCTCCTCTTTGCTCTCGCCCTCTCCCCTCCCTTACCCCTCGCATCCTCCCTCCCCCCACAATCCTTCCCTCCTCCCTCCATGAGCCCCTCCTCAAGTCCTCCCTCCGCCCTCCCCCTCCCTTCATCCTCCTTCCCCAACCCCTTCTGCCATCCCCCCCCCCTCACCCCCCTTCCTCTCTCGCTCCGTGCACCCCCCAACAGGCCTCAACCCCCGGCCGTGCCGCCCCCCCCCCCCCCGCGGGTCTGCGCTCCGAAGAATACTGCTTGTACGCGTGGAACGTGTTGAGCAGGGTGAGGTGGTCCCCGTCCAGGTGGGCGAATCTGCGGGGCTGCTCGTTCTGGATCCTCTTCGTCCTCCATCGTCCCCTGCCGCTACCCCTCTTCCCACTCCATCTTGCACTCCTCCTCCTCCTGCTCCGCCTCCTCGTTGACTAGGTAAGGTGATGCGAACGCTTCTCCTGATGAAAGGTGCCTCCTCCTCATCCTTACCAACTAATCTTCCCCAGGTCCCTGGCCCAAGTAAAGCACCTTAGTGGGCCCTGCAAACGACAGGGCAATGTTCTTACCGGTTCCGTTTTGCAATTTGTTTGCCGGTTCCGACGCCTTTTTTTTACCGGTTCCGTCGCCGTTCTTTTACGGGTTCCCGCTCCGGTTCCAATCCTGGAGCCGTTTTTGTTGCTGTGTCCGGTCGCCGTTTTTTTGCCGTTTCCATTTTCAAGGAAGACTTTTTCGGAAACGATGAAAAAACGGCCCTGCCGTTTCTGGGGCCCACTAAGATAAGCACATAGATATACATATACATCCAGGAAGCACAATCGTCCTTTCATACGTGGAGGTCTATACACACATTATGCCACCGACCTAGTCACCATACGCAGAACTGCAGAACCGCATCCACCTCTCAGACTTTCTCCCCTCCCCTTCCTACTCCCACTCTCCGTCTCGCTGCTCCTCCTCCTCCTCGTCCTACTCCTCCTCTTCCTCCTCCTCCTCCTCCCTCCTCCCTCCTCCTCCCTCCTCCCTCCTCCCTCCTCCATCCTCCCTCCTCCGCCCTTCTCCCTCCTTCCTCCTCCCTCCTTCTCCTCCTCTCCCCGTCCTCCTCCTCCTCCTCCATCTCCTCTAATTCCTCCTCCTCCGCCCCCTACCACCAACTGGGACAAGACTGGTTACACGACTAGCTCGGTGGATCTTGACGAGGACCCCAACCAGAGGTGGAAACTCAGCTCTGAGCAAAGGCTCAGCAGCGGCAGGGTTCTAGGCACAGACGCTAACAATGGTGCTGCGCGAAGTGTCACGGAGCAAAATAAACGGATGGCCAAACGGCCTGGGTATCAGCACGTGCTTGTGCTCTGAGGAAAGCTGGGGCAAGCGTCAGCACGATAATGAGGGGCTCTCCTACGGCGACGGCGGTGTGGGGGGCGGCGGTCACGGGCACTGCTGACTTGAAGCTTGCTGCTCTCAGGCGAGCCGCTCTCAGAGGGGAGGGACGGGTTCCTCCTGGTACCTCGGTTGCTCTCAGGTTGCGTGTCCCCCCCAGAGGGGCCACCAGAGATCACTGGGTTGTTGTGGTCTGTGGTGTGATCAAGCATTGGGCATTGAGTGTGCAGTCTGTCTTGCCAGGGCTTGGTCCACTCCAGGCCTGCATGCAGGACGCGCATTGTCTGCTGGAAAAAGAGAAGCCTTGGTCACACGTTGCTGACCCGTCTCAAGCTGCTGATCTTTCTCTCGCCAAGATCGGTTGCACCTTGCCCTCTGCCAGTGTGCGTTGGCATCCCAGACTAGGGGAGTTCAACATTGCTGACTTCTCTCCTGCATTCTTTGTTGATATTGTCAGGCCTCTGGCGCTCCTGGCTTCAGACATTTTGGATGTGGAGAGACTCCAAGCCCCCCTGGGTCTCCCCGCATTCAACTGGCCTCCACTCGCTCCCCTCATCAATAGGGATTTTGATGACAGCTGGTCGCAGCATCGAGCTGCGGCCATTCGGAGCCTGGTCGGTGGATCGCATTGGCCCCAAACTCGGTTGCATTCTAGAGGTAAGGCTCAGTCAGATGCTTGCGTTCAGTGTGGCACGAGAGGCACCTTGTGGCACCGCTTTTGTGATTGCACCAGGTGTCTCCAGGTCAGGCGAGAGGAGTGCCCTCAGCATGTCATGCAGGCCGCCCAGTATGTAAAAACAATCGGAGAGGAAGCTGGAGAGCTCATGGCTAGATGCCTCTTCCCCTCCCCGTCCATCTGCTTCCCTTGCGAAGACGTGCCTCCGGAGGACCAGCTCAGGTTTGTTGGAGCTTTCACTGGGTGGAAGTTGTCGGGTGCTGTCTTTGTAGACGGCTCGGTGTTCCATTCCCACCTCCAGGGCTTCAGTCGTGCAGGATGGTCGGTCGTACAGATTGACCCAGCTGGCAGCTTGGTCGGCGCCATGTACGGCGCGGTGCCGCTCCACGCGGCCCCAGGACAGGCGGCTCGGGACGGGGAGGGCTCGGGGTTCAGGATGCTCTCTCTGTTTAGTGAATGGTCTACTGACCACCCGCTGGTTGTCCATACTGATTGCTCTGGCGCGTTAGGCTGTGCGACAGATTCCAGCATTGCCCTCTCAGCCTCTAACCCTCGTCGACACATGTGGGGAGACTGGTGGAGTGGCATTGGCAGAATGGCCACTGTTTGTAAAGTCGAGGCTCATAGGAGCCTAGGTGCAGCTACCTCGGATCAGGACGAAAGGCTGATTAAAGGTAATGCTCTTGCTGATAAATGGGCCAAGAGAGGAGCCCGTCTCTGGAACGTTCCTCAGGATCACCTTGCGTTTGTCTCGGGGTGCGAAAAGATTGCCTCGGACATTGTCAAGTGGCAGAGCAGGTGTCAGGACGTTTTTGGAGAATTAGAACAGCCTGACTCACAGGATCTGGAAGGTGCTGCGGACATTGTCTTGGATGTTGATCTTCCCCCTGGTCTAATTCAGGCCTGTTTAGATGAAGGTGTGGCGCCGTTCGGGGGCTGGGCCTTGGCTGTGGAGGCTGAGCCTCCTCGCCCAGCTCCTGGCCTTCCCCCCCCGCCCACTGAGGGAGGGTCTGCTGAATCGGGGAAGTTGATGATTCCTTTGCCTCTGCCCCTGGTGTCCCCTGGGTTGTCAGGGGCCACTCACGTGTGCAAGCCTCTGTCACGGACCAGGGCAAGGAGTTAAGGGATGTCTGGTTTTGCGAAGTTTGTGGAGCCTCGGCGCACACGTCGGCGTGAGGACTGAGAGAGGAGTGCAAGAGTTCTAAGCATCCTGGCCTCAAGACCCAGCGGTCGAAGCTGAAGCGGGCGTTGTTCCCAGGGCACGCCCATGGCGAAGCCAGGGTGGGCCCTGCCTTTGGACCGACTCTTGCGATGAAAGCTGTTTGGGGTCCTCTGCTTGTTGCTGGTGGGGGCTCTGCTGCTGCTGCTGCTGCTGCTGCGGGGAGCCCTGACAGCGAGTCTGTTGGAGGACAAGGATTGGCTGGCAGTCACGAGAGCCCTGTTTCCAGAGGATCTGGTGCGGGGGGAGGACTCGCCTTCTCTGCTTTCGGGGCCTGCAGGCTGTCTCAGTCGCTAAGCTGCATGGTTTCGCCTCGCCTGACGATCTTGTGCAGTGGGAGAGGTCCTGCCAGAGGTCTCAGAAGGAGGCACCCGGGCTTATCGATAGCGATTAAGCTCTATAGACGCCGTGTGTCGAGGGGCACCATGACGTGCCCGAGTTGTCAGTACTCTCAGTACCCTCCCCCTACCACCCCTCATCCTCCCCTCTGGATCCTCCCCTCTGGATCCTCCGCTGGATCCTCCGCTGGATCCTCCGTTGGATCCTCCGCTGGATCCTCCCCTCTGGATCCTCCTCTGGATCCTCCTCTGGATCCTCCTCCTCCTCGTCGTCCTCCCTCCTCCCTCATCCCTCCTCTCTCCTCCTCCCTCCTCCTTCCTCCTCCCCTACCACCCCTCATCCTCCCCTCTGGATCTTCCTCTGGATCCTCCTCCTCCTCCTCCTCCTCCTCCGCTGAGATGGTTTCAAGACTGCCCAAGTTGCACCGAGATGGCCTCCGCGCGCAGCGCTGCCGCTACCGGGGGGCGCACGGCCTCCCCCCGGACGTGCCCGCGGCATGCGGGGGCGGCCGCGTGGCGCTCGCGGCAGGCTCCGCCCTTTGAGGCCGCGCGCTCGCGTCCGCGAGGCGTGCGCCTGCGCCTGCTGCGGTCAGTACCTGGACGCCCGCGCCGATCTCAGGGGAGAACGAACAATGACATATCCATAAAAACTCGGAGGCCCGCGCGGATCTCTCGGATCCGCGCTGGGCCCCCCTGGCGGCGCCTCCAGCGCCGCCCCTGGCGCGTTCCGCGCGCCAGGGAGGGGGGGGTCCAGCGCCGATCCGAGAAATCCGTGCGGACCTCCGAGTTTTATGTATGTCATGATTCGTTCCTCTAGATCTTGCTCTTGCGGGCGCGGTGGGCAAGCGGAGGTGGTGGTAGGAGGCCACATGCGAACCCTACCCCACCACTCTACGATTTCTAAGGGGTGGGGGGGTCCCTTCGCTCGGAGGTCCCGAACGAAGTGAAGCGCACCTCCCCCCCCGAGAAATCGTGGGGTAGTGTGGTAGGGTTCGCATGTGGCCACCGAAATCGAGGATGGACCAATACGCCGACCTTGCAGACGTGCTGCAGCGGACTTCGTGCGCGGATTCGACGCAAAAAATGCAACGGTGAACGAAAAACGAAGTGAATGTCACGTGAATGCTTTGTAGTCTTCATTCCTGCCCCAAAACAAAAAAAACGCACGAAATTCACTTCGAACTAAGGAGCGAAATTCTCCAGGACCATCCTGGCCCATCCTATTGTCTTCCGAACGAGATCCGCTCTGCGATGTTGGCGCAGTTAAAAGAGGCACGGATGAAAACGACCTGAGGCCCAAACCTGGCGGCCGCAAGCCTGGAAAATAGCGGCCACGGCGCCCTCTCGAGAACCGAAAACGGACAATTCACTAATCGACGTGTCACTGTTGGGGGTTCTGTCCACCCCCGATTAAAAGAGGCACGGATGCAGGGGTGCCCTCAGAAAGGTTACCCATCCTGGGCCCATCCGTGTCGACTGCACTGTGGCTCGGTGGCGAGCCCGGCGGGGAAGCGAGACAGGGCGCGGGCCTCCTCAGAAGGCTTGGAAGGCCTCGGGCCTTCTGAGGAATCTTCCGAGCCTTCTCCGAAGGCACGAGAAACTTCTCAGACGTCCGGAGGGCTTCTGAGAAGCCCCGCCGCCTTCTGAGAAGGCTTGCGCCTTCTCACTTCCCAACCGGGCGCGCCGCCGAGTGGCGGAAAAGCAGAATCCT